ATTTACATTGAACTTTATGGGAAACTTTACCTCGACTTGAGACCAACTCGAGTTGCAACCATAGTCACGGAACGGATTAAGTTCGTAGCTAGAGGTACCACTGTATTTGATTTTAAGGCTACGCCTGCTGGACAGAGGGCATGAAGACAAAAAGGAGGACATGTCCTCCTATTGCTGGGGGTCTGGTAACCCTAAACACAGCACGCAACTCCCAATTGAATCAGCAAATTCATGGAAAGGCAGGATATAAATCCCACAAAGAAAAAAACAAACAAGAATTATGGTATTTATTCTGTTATTTATTTTGTCCTTTCTATACCACCCAAGGCTCCTGTCTAGCTCAATATTTTGTTGTGAGACAGAAGACAAAAATTTAGTAAGTGCAAGATTACACACATGCTCAGTGTAAAGAAGCATGCTCATGTTTGTTCAAGTCAGTTTTATGGAGGGGTGGCTATTTTGTTTAAACAGCAGATAAGGATTATTCTAAAGGAGACGGGATTCTTCAAAAAATCTTAAGTCAGACACAAGATTACTTCCTCAACTGACTCTTAGAGAGCTCTGGAAAAAACAGTTTCCATTAATGACTCTTCATGCTTCTTTCAGTCTTCTCCTGGATAATAAAATATACTGTTGTAAACAGTCATATCTCATTCTGTGACCACACTGGAATGATAGCTAAGGACAGAAGTAAGGATTAACAATCCAACTTGAAATGCAACATGTCTCTGGAAAGATTCAAATTACTTTAACAGGAAAACCCTGGAACAAGCCATCTGTGATGACTAGAGCCAAAGGAAAGCAGCAAACAATGCTACAGAGCTGAAGATGGAGGCAAAAAAAAAATAGAAAGTTGAAATGGTTGGTATCATGAGGTTGGCTGGTTGCTATTGTTTACCCAACATAAAAATATTAGTACACAGTGCAGAAAGTGATACGGTCTGCCAGTTTTAATCTTCCTTATAACTCATTCCATAGTGCATGGCCTAACATAAAATAGCCAGGATAATATATTGATTTCTGTGTTGGCATGGGACTGGGGACACCCAGGTTTAAGTCCCCACTTGGCATAGATTTACTGGGTGACCTTGGTCCAGTTATTTTTCTTTAGCTTAACCTTTCTCACAAGGTTGTTGCTGTGTGACGAAGTGAGGGAGATCCTCCTTTCTCAGAGGAAATGAAAGATATAAAATCAATGACTAAATCAGTTCAGATCTTGAGGAGGGCAATTTGCTGGAAATTCAAGTGATTACTCTTTTTGTGGATTGCAGAATTCAGTGACTGCATTAAACTGCCTATCTTACATTTCCATTCAACTAAATCAAAAGGAGTAGATGATACACATTTCAAAAAATGGTAACTGAC